AAATTTTCATGCTAACGTACCGGTTCCTGGGGTATGTCGTATAGAATGCTACAAAAAATATGAAATTGCAAACTTTTTTATCCACTTTTATCTTTAGCGTTGGACGCCGCAATAAGGTTAAATGGATAAATAAGTCTGTTATATCATCCGAATATTTCAATCCTGGAGGAGGGATTTTTATTTCGTGAACCTACTACGAAAAAATTAGAGACAAACGAAAACGACAATGACGCTAATTTTATTGATAACAGATGGCTCACACACGAGCATCCATATTCTACAACTTTTGACGACAATATCGATATCGATATGAGTCGTTAAAGACGTTCACCGGCTAATCGATTTCTATACAAAATGCTTCAAATTTTAACTACATGCTATTAATATCATTATCGATATAGCCTCCAAATTTCAGAAAATTTAGCGGTACCGAATTCGAGTTATTAATTTTCAAAGTTGCAGCTTTTAACATGTAAGGTATAGCCCAAGCGTGCGCCCAAGTGACATTTCAATTCATAGCGACTGTGATATCTATACAAATGTTCTAAAAAATTAGGATATGATGCAGGACGATGCTAGAAATAACATAAAAAAAAACGGGGATGCGTAGCGGTGCCGTTTTTGAGTTATCGAAATTCGAAGTGGTGTATTCGACAGCACTTCGAAGTAAGTCGCCGCATGGAAGAAGAGCCGTTGCTATGAGATGGGTCTCCGCTTTTCTCAACAGGCTAGTGTGCGTGTATACATACAAGTCATCGAACCCCGTTTGTTTGTCCGTGAGTACACTTAGCAGAAAAAGTATTGGCATAGGAAGCGGAGTGGGGAGAGACATGCTCTATGCACCGAGAAGCGAGCGAGCAGTAAACTTTTGGCTACGATTGTAGCCGGTGAACGTCCTTAAGCAGCGTTTTTACTACATAAAATATTGGTACAACTACACTGTAACGATACCGACAATATCATTAAGAGTTATAGAATAATGGTACAGCATTTCTTTAATACGTAATATGATTGCTTCAAATTCTGAAAACCTTAATGTCCTGAAATGCTAATTGTAATTGACACTACAGTAATGTATAGTAAAAAAACAAAGAGAATTTTCAATCAAATTTAACTAATGTTTCATTACGAGCAAAATTAATCGTATACAAAGTATCTGGAGACACGGTAGTGTCTCGGCGCTAAGCCAAGCGCCGCGGCACTGCCGTGCCTCCTTTACGCGAATCTGATGAATTCGGGAGTTGAGCTGATCAGATCTCGGTAACGGTTGAACTGATCAAGTTCTACATACGCTCAATCGATAGCAAATACTTAAATTTTATAATAAAAGTGCTTTTATTCTTTTTCTACGTGCCCTACGAGCGGAGATATCGCGACGCAAAGGCCGGATCTGTGAATTTTCACATCGTTTTTTTCTTAAGATACGTCGTCGACCACATTCCACGCATTCCATTTGATGTCCTTTTGACATTTTTGGCACAAGAGGCAAATGTAGCGCTAGTTGTATACGATAATGTGACTGTGACGTGCGCGCGATTTGATATCGATCGAGATTGTCATTAGCGTCGAGACACTACTGTATCTCCAGATAATTATTAATTAATTAATAATTTTTAGTAAATATATTCAATATATTTAAAAAAAAGAGATCGAGATTGTCTTTGATTGAGGAACTGCAACGTCGAGGAAGTGAGTGTCTATGTAGGTGTTCGCCTTCGAGGAAGTGGGTGTCTAGGTGTTCGCCGTCTCATTCTGACAAGCGATATGATTTGATGTCTTCAGATTGCAAGAGGCAAATGTGGCATTAGTTTAGTGTTAACCGTTAAATTCGATGACTACTCAGGTTAGAAAAAGTTTAGAAAATCTGTCACATCGATGGCACAGAGGAACACGTAAGTGAAGTTATTATACAAATAGAATATCTCATGTACCTTTAAAAGATTCTTTATTTATTAGGATATTCTTGTAAAGGTATATTAACCGTTAAATTCGATGACCACTCAGGTTAGAAAAAGGTTAGAAAATCTGCCACATCGATGGCACAGAGGAACACGTAAGTGAAGTTATTATAGAATAGAATATATCTCATTTACCTTTAAAAGATTCATTATTTATCAGGATATTCTTGTATTCAGATTTATGGAAAGCAAATGCCTCAAAAGTGAAAGAAATGAAAAGAATACAAAAGAATTGAAAAGATATACCTTTATCTGGTATAGTTTTTCCTATTCCTATTTTCTATTAATTATATTACTTTTAAATCCTTGCCTTTTCTTTTCAGGACTTTTCTTTCAACAAATCTAAAAATAAAATACAGCACAAATAAACAATTCGGTAAATATTCCGAATTACACAGTCAGCCCCAAATGACTTCCCAGTGACCTTGACCTTGACCTTGACCCTCAAGAAGGTCAAGGTCATTGACCATTCCCGTCGCTCGTCCTTCGTCTGACTGTGTAATTCGGAATATTTACCTTTTTTTATATTCGTTAACGCGACCACATATTATAAAATAAAATTATTAAATAAAGGTAAAACAGTTACTCTTCGTAGTAATATATTATGCGTGGTGCGGTGTTGTGAGGGGGACAGCGAAAGCTAGACGAAAATGATTCGAAAATCAACCGAAGGTTGCACTGTCCCCCTCACCGCTCCGCGTGCAGTCGATATGTCCCATGACAATCGAATGGTTTAAATATCATAGCAGTAAGCAGTAGGGAGTATTTAAAATAATTTTATTTGAAACATGTATTTCAAATGATATATGTAAGTAATATGAGATGAGCTGGTACAGCCGAAAGCGGAGGCGATTCGAAAATCGGTCGAAAGTTACATACACTTTACGTATGTTCACTTTGTACTGGCAACTTTAATTAATAATCAGTTACTTTTCGTAGTAATATACAGGGTGATCCGAAATTCGCGGATACAGAGTACAGGACATGATACTTTATACTAAAACAAACAACTTTTTCCTTTAGCAAAATTGCGTCCGACAAATAGTTTTTGCATGAGAGCTTCTTGAAATTAACGAATAAGCACTCGGATCCATGCAGCGCTCAGGGCCGGCGCGCGCGCCTCACTTGCTTGTACCTAATCCGTGACTAGTATTCATAAATGATGTCTTTTAAGACGCTCATACGGCTCTGTTATGATTAGTTTACGCGCGTGACATCTTAAGACTGTACTTAAGATATCTTATCTTAAATAATAAGCAAAAGCTATGAACAATATCGGCATTTGAACATTTTTCATATTGTGTTGCATAAATGATGAAAAGTTAATGAAATAAATACTGCCTTTATTTCTTACGTAATACATGAATAAAAAATTGTCTGCTTTCATAATAATAATGTGAAAATAAAGACAAATGTAAATAATAATGTGCTTCGCGAGTGTTCTTTTTATTTCAAATATTGTATAGTTACGTGATAGTTAAATAGTATCATTAAACTTAAAGAATAAACTTAAATTTATTGATCAAACGAGTACATTTGTGATTAAAAGTAAAGTAAAATCGTCCAGCTAAAGCTACAATAATAAAGCAGACAACAATTCGTAAGTACTTTATGACGTAAGAAGATGTTCTCAGGTTTTAATAATACACTCAGCAGCAAAATTAAATTAATTTTTAAATTAATTAGTTAATTAATTAATTAAAAAATAAATTAATAAATAAATAATAATAAAGAATAATAATTAATTAATAAAAATAGAAGTAAAAGTAATAATTAATTTATTAAAATAATAATAAATTAATTATTAATTATTAACTATTAATTAATAAATTAAATAAAAATATGATAAACAAATAAATTTTAAATTAATTTTTAAAATAATTTTTCATGGGATTATGTTTTAAATATAAAAGCCTCTCTTTTCAGTTTCACATTGTTGATTATCATCGGACGATTTTCATCGTAGAATTTTACGTTAAGAAGCGAAATGAGAAATTCATGGATAATCTCGATAATTTTGCAAAATCAATCGATTTTTCGGAGTTGCAAAAATTATTTTGTGGCTTAAATTAACGCGATATTGAAAGTTAAGACTAGTCCATTAAAATGGCTTATTAAAAATTGATTTATAATTGTTTTATAATTATGGTTTATTGCATTTTGGGAAATTTTTTTACAAAAATGTAAATTGTGCCGCCGGCATTACGTAATCCAAGGTACACCACGAGCAGGTTGCACGGTCGGACTTGTACCTCGTGCGTGCGTGCGTGCGTGCGTGCGTGCGTGTGTGTGTATGAACAATAATTCGGATTTATAATAGGTGTTCGAAATGCAAGCCTCCCATTTGTATACATGCATTGGCTCTGTGTATGAGACTCTGTGTGGTAAGCTGGAGCATTGCTGGCGTAACATTTCCTATCGCACAATGGAGCCGTTCTTCTAACTCTTCTAACGGTTCTACAGGACCTTTATAAACATAACTTTTTAAATAACTCCATAAAAAATAATCAAGTGGGTTTAAATCAGGTGACCTTGCTGGCCATGCGACAGGTCCACCTCTACCAATCCAACAATTTTAAAAATGTTCATCCAAATAACGTTTAACACGTCTACTAATATGAGGTGGTGCTCCATCGTGTTGAAACCACATATTTTGTCTAATATTTAGTGGAAAATCTTCCAAAAGATCGGGTAAATTTTCCTGCAAGAAATCAGCATAGTTGTCGCCTCCCATTCTGTTTGGTAAAATACAGGGTCCAATTATTTCGTTTCCAATAATTCCGGCCCAAATATTTAATTTCCAGCGAACTTGGAAACTTCTTTCCCTAATTAAGAAGGGATTTTCCGTTGTCCAGTAATGCGTATTATGTGCATTAAATAATACCTCTCGAGTAAATAGAGATTCATCAGAAAATAGGATTTGGCCACAAAATGTATTGTTCCTGTTGTTTTCTCGCACTAATCATCGACAAAATTCGAGACGACGTTCAGCATCACCTTCTCGAAGATGTTGCACCTTCGAAAAATGGTATGGGTGCATACCTTCACTTTTTAAAACACGCTGGATTGTCGTGTACGGCACATTTATTTCGTTGGTAATTGAACGAATGCTTCTTCCCGGGTTTTCTTCAAATCGTTGTATAATTTCTTCGTCTCTATGAATCATTCTCATATTTCGTCCACGTCCGGCATTTGGACGATTGATGATTACGCTGCCTGTTTCGCGTAATCTGGTCTCTACTCTTCTAATGACGTTTACGTTTGGGTGACGTCTATGTGGATAAATTTCGGCATACCGTCTAGCAGCAACACTCGCTTGATTGTTGCACTGTCCGAGAACGAGCAACATATCGCAATATTCGGCGTTTGTATACTCCATCTTAATACTTATATCTTGCAAGCTGCACAATTAACGCTTTATAACAGCGTTACTATTAGCAACATGCTAGAAAAAAGTGACGATATTAACATTAACAAAGATGGACATTTGTATGCCGAAATTTATCCACATAGACGTCACCCAAACGCAAACGTCATTAGAAGAGTAGAGACCAGATTACGCGGAACAGGCAGCGTAATCATCAATCGTCCAAATGCCGGACGTGGACGAAATATGAGAATGATTCATAGAACAATACATTTACAGGAACAATACATTTTGTGGCCAAATCCTGTTTTCCGATGAATCTCTATTTACTCGAGAAGAATTGTTTAATGCACATAATACGCATTACTGGACAACGGAAAATCCCTTCTTAATTAGAGGAAGAAGTTTCCAAGTTCGCTGGAAATTAAATATTTGGGTCGGAATTATTGGGAACAAAATAATTGGACCCTGTATTTTACCAAACAGAATAGAAGGCGACAACTATGCTGATTTCTTGCAGGAAAATTTGCCCGATCTTTTGGAAGATTTTCCATTAAATATTAGACAAAATATGTGGTTTCAACACGATGGAGCACCACCTCATATTAGTAGACGTGTTAAACGTTATTTGGATGAACATTTTCAAAATTGTTGGATTGGTAGAGGTGGACCTGTCGCATGGCCAGCAAGATCACCTGATTTAAACCCACTTGATTACTTTTTATGGAGTTATTTAAAAAGTTATGTTTATAAAGATCCTGTAGAAACGTTAGAAGAGTTAGAAGAACGGCTCAGTTGTGCGATAGGAAATGTTACACCAGCAATGCTCCAGCTTACCACACAGAGTCTCATACACAGAGCCAATGCATGTATACAAATGGGAGGCTTGCATTTCGAACACCTATTATAAATCCGAATTATTGTTCATACACACGCACGCACGCACGCACGCACGCACGCACACATGAGGTACAAGTCCGACCGTGCAACCTCCTCGTGGTGTACCTTGGATTACGCTAATGCCGGCGGCACAATTTACATTTTGGTAAAAAAATTTCCCAAAATGCAATAAACCATAATTATAAAACAATTATAAATAAATTTTTAATAAGCCATTTTAATGGACAAGTCTTAACTTTCAACATCTCGTTAATTTAAGCCACAAAATAATTTTTGCAACTCGTAAAATCGATTGATTTTGCAAAATTATCGAGATTATCCATGAATTTCTCATTTCGCTTCTTAACGTAAAATTCTACGATGAAAATCGTCCGATGATAATCAACAATGTGAAACTGAGAATAGAGGCTTTGATATTTAAAACATAATCCCATGAAAAGTTATTTTAAAAATTAATTTAAAATTTATTTAAAACTAATATGAGAATAAGGCTACGAGCCTTAGATTCATTAAAATCTTTAATTCTATTAATTCTAATGTATTGCGAAGAATATCACGTAATGTTGGCGTTTCGTCCCGGCTTCCAATACTGGACTCATCAGTAAGGTATTGTAATGAAAGCCTACCTTAGACGCCTGTTTTAGTTATTTGTTTTAGTTAGCATATTATTATTTACATTTGTCTTTATTTTCACATTATTATTATGAAAGCAGACAATTTTTTATTCATGTATTACGTAAGAAATAAAGGCAGTATTTATTTCATTAACCTTTCATCATTTATGCAACACAATATGAAAAATGGTCAAATGCCGATATTGTTCATAGCTTTTGCTTATTATTTAAGATAAGATATCTTAAGTACAGTCTTAAAATGTCACGCGCGTAAACTAATCATAACAGAGCCGTATGAGCGTCTTAAAATACATCATTTATGGTTACTAGTCACGGACTAGGTACGGCGCGCGCGCCGGCCCAGAGCGCTGCATGGATCCGAGTGCTTATTCGATAATTTCAAGAAGCTCTCATGCAAAAACTATTTGTCGGACGCAATTTTGCTAAAGGAAAAAGTTGTTTGTTTTAATATAAAGTATCATGTCCTGTACTCCGTATCCGCGAATTTCGGATCACCCTGTATATATTATTACAATTTAAATCGTGATAGTACTGCGATAGTTTTAAATATACGTCACATCGGTCAGCAGTCGGTAGTATTTAAAATAATAATTTTATTTAATATGTATTTATGACTGCTCGGTTTATCGGTGAACCGGGTGAGGGGGGGACGTGCGACTAGCGTCCGCCCTTCAACATCAAAACAATCCCAAGACTGCTTTCACTAACCATCTAATATTAACGCATTGATTTTAGAATAACATATTTATTCTTTATTATTCGTTAACGCGATTGCATATTAAAAAACGAAATTATTAAATAAATGTAAAACAGTTGCTTTTCGTAGTAATACATTATGCGCGGTGCGGTGTTGTGAGGGGGACAGCGAAAGCTAGACGTAAACGTTTCGAAAATCAACCGAAAGTTGCACAGTCCTCCGCGCTGCTCCGCGTGCAATCGAACGAAATGTTCCATGACAATCAATGGCATTGTTCTGCGCGCGGAGCGGTGAGGTGAGGAGGACAGCGAAAGTTAGACGGAGGCGATTCGAAAATCAACGAAAAGTTGTACTATCCCCCTCACCACACCGCGTGCAGCTGAAATGCCCCATGACAGTCGAATAGCATTGTTCAGCGCGCGGAGCGGTGAGGTGAGGGGAACAGCGAAAGCTAGACGAAGGCGATTCGATAATCAGCCGAAAGTTGCATTTGCCCGCCCCTCCTCACCTCATCTCACCGCGTGCAGTCCAAGTGCTCCATGGTGATCGAATGGCATTGTACTGTGCGCGGTGCGATACGATAAGAGGGACTGCGAAAGCTGGACGAAAACTATTCGAAAATCAATTGAAAGTTGCACCCCTCTCACCTCACCGCTCCGCTCGCAGTCCACATGTCCCATGACGATCGAGCGGTATAGACTAGCGCCACATTTGCCTCTTGCGGCAGGATTATCAGAAGGACATCGAATGGAATGTGGTCGACGATGACAATAATGATGATAACGACGACAATAATAATGATGACGACGATGACGTATCTTAAAAATAAAGCGTGAAAATTTCCAGATTCGGACTTTGAGTCGTGATATCTTCAATCGTAGGACACGTAGAGAAAAAATGAAAGCACTTTTATTATACAATTTAAGCAATTGCTATCGATTGAGCGTATATAGAACTTGATCCGTTCAGCCATTACTGAGATCTGATCATCTCAATCCCCCGAAACTCTCAGTTTCGCGTAAAGGAGGCACGGCAGTGCCACGGCGCTTGGCTTAGCGCCGAGACACTACCGTGTCTCCAGATATGTCATTAAATACTTATGTTTTAAATTGAAACTTTTCTTCATTATTTATAATAATTATTTTACGGCTCGTAGTCCTGTTATTTTTAATGTTTTTTTAAACATTAAGTCTTTATATGTAAGTGACTACGATGAATTTTATTAATTGTAAGAATAATGGAATACTGAAGAAGAGACCAGATGAATGATCGAAAACGTTATATTTATATTCACTCTTGTTTAAAAATATTTTAGAAATGTACATTTTATTATCTATGCAACTGTTTTATATAATGTGATATATAATGTTTTATATAATTTGATATGTCAAAATGATACATACGCGACACGCGGTTTTCGACGACCCGTCTGTTCGTCCTGACGTATGCGCGACACCGACACGGGAAGACCATGCAGGTGTAATACCAGCTGCACACCAGGGCCCCGATTCTCTATTCCATCGTAAGAGAAACGTATTCGAAAAATTAGGAAAATGCTATAATATACATAACGTGTACTGTAGCATTTTCCTAATTTTTCGTATACGTTTCTCTTACGATGGATTAGAGAATCGGGGCTCAGCGCGATGTTCGTCGCGCGCGACACGTGATCCAATCAGCATCTAGCTTTAGAATGAGAACATCGGTAAAGCTGTACGCTTATTGGATATCGCGCATTGCGCGCGACGAACATCGCACTGGTGTGCAGCTGCGGTATTAGGGACCTTGTATTACCGATTCCCGTTCGTTAGCTGCGTTCGGCAATGCAAATCTGAGGCGTCGGAGTGCTCTTTTTCTATAGTGCACGTGACATATGCTATAATATAAGAGCACTTCGACGCCTCAGATTTGCTATTACCGAATGCAGCTGTTCTAGTTCTACCAAAAGTCTCATCGAGGGTGTGATCCACTAGACCCTTCGAAGCGTTTCTATAGCAGATACGACGTCATATATGACGTCATAGGTTTTCGCTTCCAGCGTGCTGCAAATGCTTCTGCCGAAGAGGTAGTACGGCTGAAGCGATATTTTGAATGCACAAAAGCGCGGGAAATAATCAGAAATATCATAATTAACCATAACCTATGTGTTTCGTGATCTCGTTTGGTCTTAACGTTTTATATTGATCAAAATTAAAAATAATGCCAATTATACAATTAATAGATGTTAATACCGGGGATATTCATACTTTAGAAGTTTCCGAGGAAGATGCAAGAAAGGCTAATGAAGGTAAGATTGTATAATATAATCTACGTGTTTTTGTAACTTTTAAAGTGAAAAAGATTTATAATATAATATATGTATATTTTTAAATACATTTATTATTTGCAACTCAACTGTTACAAAATCATCAAGCATCATTAATTCAACAACAAGATAAAGCTATTACAAAATCAGGTAATATTTGATGTAAAGTAAGTTTTAAAATAGACTTATGATATGAGCTAATATTTACGAGTATAATATAAAGCTTATCATTTTCTATTTGTAATTTTGTATGTTTATAAATCATGTTTAATATTTATTGATAGGACTTATATATCGCAATTATAATAATGACGCAAGTGATGACATCTGGAGACACGGTAGTGTCTCGACACTAAGCCAAGCGCGAGACACTGCCGTGCCTCCTTTACGCGAAACTGAAATTTTCGGGGTCGAGATGATCAGATCTCAGTAACGGCTGAACCGATCAAGTTCTACATACGCTCAATCGACAGGA